AAAAATCATTTCGGAGTATGCACTATACATCAGGTTTTACATCCTGAAGTTTCATATCTTAATCCTCACAATACCCCTGAGAGATCAAGAGGTCTTATTTTGATTTTTGTTGTAATAGAAAAGGTAATTGAAGATTTCCCTCAACCGTCGGTCTAGCCTAATTCATGTCTGTGTCCCCTCCAGGTCACAAGGCAGGAAATCAGGATAGCTCTGGAAGCAGAAGTCACTCTGTGAGAACCCCTCAGCTAAGAGACCAGCTCCCGGCTGGCTCAGTCCCCCTACCTGTATTCCAGTTCCCAGAGAAAAGAACCGTCATGAGTTGAATCTAAACCGTTCCCCACAGGCTCCTGTTTTAAATTCTTGTCTCCCGGCTTGTGGTCCTATTTTGAAAACGACGGAGCCTTCAGAATGTGGGGCTTGACTTGATGAAAGCATGTTGCTAGGGGTGGGATTTTTAAAGTTATATACACCCCTGGGTCTAGCCTGAGCTCACGTTTCCTGTCTCCAACTAACTGAACAAGCTGCAACCTCATGCTACCCACTTCCACCACCGTGTTTTTACTCTGACAAGATGGTTTGAAATTTTTGAGATAGACCTCTCCTACCTGAAGTTGTCTCTGTGGAGACAGTCTGGTCACCATGACAAGAAAAGTAACCAAGTTAAAAAAAAAAAAAAGTAATTTTTTTTTTTTAAAATCAAAGTCTCCAGTTCTGTAAATACTTGATGAGAGATGAGATATAGTTCATCAGTAGAGCACCCGCCTATTGTGTGTAAAGCACGCATGTGAGGGCCTGAATTTATTCCCTAGAACTTATGTAAAAAGCCAGGACTGGTGGTGTGCATGTCCTCCCAGCCCTGGAGAGAGGTAGACAGGCAAATCCCTGAGGTTCAACAGTCACTACCCTACATTAATTGTCAAGCGACAGGCCAGAGGAAAGATAGCATCTCAAAATGCAGCATGGGGGCTGGAGAAATGGCTCTTCTGTTAAGGGCACTTGCTGTTTTTTCCGAAGACCAGAATTTGGTTCCCAGCACCTAAATATGATGGCTCACAGCCATCTAGAATTCCAGTTCCAGGTGATCCAAACCTACCCAGGCATGTCCCATGTATGCATGTATACACTCAAATAAAAATAAAATAAAAAGCCTTAATAGTCAAGCAAACAAACGACAATGACAAAAACCAAGATGGGTAGCCCCTGAGGAGCGACACACCGAAGGCTGACTGACGTCTGGTTTCCATGAGTATGTGCACACATGTGCATGAGCTGGACTTTTTTTTTCTCAAAAACAAAACACGCATACACAGAGGGATGGGGGAGGGAGAGAGGAAGAGGGGGAGAGAGGGGGGGGAGAGGGGAAGAGGGGGAAAGGGGGGGAGAAGGGAGAGGGGGAGAGAGGGGGGATGGGGGGACAGGGGGGACAGGGGGGAGAGGGAGAGAGAGATTGTCCAGAGAGCTTATCCCTGCCTTTGGACCTGAATGATCTCATTTGAAGCCGAGCCCCATGAACCAGCACTAGAGCCCGTGGTTCCTGGAACTGCATTCTAGAATCTGAAGCCCCTTTTGTGGTGATCCCAGGTCAGTGTTCTTGGCAGGGCTCTTGCCTGGCCTGCCTGGGGCTTCCTGAGGAAAACACTCAGTTGCCCTCCTTATAAGCCCTCAGCACCCAAGTGCTCTTATTGCTAGGGCCTGAAACCAGGTAATGGCAGAGATATTTGATGACAATTAGCGACCAAGGTTACCCGACTCACGGTCCAGTGAGGTTCCTCCCTCTGACATCAGTCTATGGAGGGCAATAAGACTTCCTTAGCTCGTCTCCACAGATGCCATGTAGTCTCTCAGGGACAGCTTACCTACGCCACTTCCTTCCTGCTCCGCTCCTTCCTCCTCAGCTTCCCTGAACAGCCCTTGTAGCCTGCGTTACTGTGATTAGATGGCCTCTTGTGCTGACCTGCTTCAGGTTCAATGAGCTTATTCATGGAGCCTTCCCTTCTCTGAACTATATACGGCCCCCATATCAGTTTCCTGGCTCCTTTCTGGACTCCCGAGGTGAAGGGGAGAATTCAGAAAACGGACCTTGTGTGAAAGGCCTTTACAAAGCCCCTGCTTTAACTTTATCCTGGGAAGCCAGGCACACACCATGCCCTCTATTTTAGGAAAGGAGCCAATGTCCTTTCTGCTCATATCTTACCTTAGCGTCACCCTGCTCAATGCATACACCTCGCAAGTCTTTGAAGAAACCTTGCCATCGCCATTAAGAAGCTACGGAGCATCGTCGAAGACGCTCTGTTCAATTCCAGGTGGGGAGCGTGCTAACGACGCTACGCCATTCCTACACTCAGACCCAGAAACCGCCACGAGTGAAGCGGGGGGGGGGGGGGGGGGGGGGGGGGGGGGGGGGGCTAGGCTAGTTCCCGTTTCTAATTAATCTATTAGCGCCGCTCTTGCCTGACTCGATCGCTCTCCTCCACTCTCGTGGCACACACATATCAAGCGCTCCTCCATTAATCCGTGGCACTGGGAGTCTTCCTTTTATGCTTGCTCTTCCAGGTGTAATTTACTGTAATCACCACAGAAAATGAAAGCCATTTTCCAGAAGCCAGGGAGGAGGAGATACTCATTTGTATCCTTTTCAAGTCCTAGATGACTGCCTGGGTCCCCAGAGGTCAAATGACAGCATTGCTTGTCATTTTACTTCTATCACATGCCACCCTCTTTCAGCATCCTCGTGGCTGCCCAGGTAAAGAGAGCGTTTAATCCTAGCTCTCTTCCCGGGCTCCAGGATGACTGAAAATGCCCCCCCCCTTTTTTTTTTTTTTTTTGCCACAATCTGATAAGTAACAATGGACCACCAAAGTATTGAGTGTAGCAAATCCCCGAGATGGACAGTGGCATGGGGATCCGAGGGAACTGACGCTGTGGACAAACAGGTGTAGGCCTGGTACTCCAATCTGAATGTAAAATGTCCGCCCCAGGCTCAGGCGTTGGGACACTCACCTGGTCTTCAGCTGACTGTGCTTTGAGGGAAGGGTTTGGAACCTCTAGGAGATGGGATCTAGTGAAGGAAATGGGTGAAGGGAGGGCGGGCCTTGAGGTTTATAGTCGAGCCAGTTTCCAGCTCTCCTTACCAGTCAGCCTCCATATGAACAAGGAGCCCCATATATCTGTTGCATTATTGCCAGCCACTTCCAAGACCCATGCCTTCCCTGCCATGGGGAACTGTCCTTTCAAACCATGAGCCTAAATAAATCCTTCCTATGAAGTATTCAGTCGGTCACAGTGACATAATCGTAGCTCATCTGAGAAGTTCCGTCAGTAGAAGAGAGCATGTGAGGAAGTACAAAGATACCATGAAGCCCCAGGCTGTGTATGAAATTCTGGTCAGAGACCTGGGATCTCAAGGAATAAGAGGCCATGATCCCCAGCTTGACATCACTCAGACTTTCCAAACTGCTACTTCCTGAGAACCTAACTACAAGCACATGCAGGTCATGGCACACTGTTTCCCATAATATAGTCCTCTCAGGCAATACATCCCTGGGCAGTGGGATTGCCCATGATTCATAGCTTTCGAAACTAAAGCTCTGAGGGCAGCAGGTCCCTGGCCTTGGTGCAGGGCCACTCAGGAACAGGGAAAGGTTGAAGTGGGGATTCAGACATGCTGGATTCCAAAGCTGGTCTCAGGAGGCTGTTTCAGAGGCAACACAGTAAGGTCACAATAGTGTAGAGCTGATGACCTCTGGGGACACTCCCTGCCCTGAGATGCTGCAATATACAAGTCTGTATGGAGTTCAATGTCATCTTTGGCTATGTAGGCCTCTGTGGCTGTTTTTGAAGCATTTTCATGGGAAGTGTCTAACTGTCACCTGTTGAATAAGAAAGTCCTTCAGCAGCACTACCTTAGTCTGTCAACCCTCACAGAGTCCTGCCAGGTAGTTGAAATAGATACACTGGGCTCCAAGAGGCCAAGGGACTTAGCCAGGCCATGGCCAGGCACTGAACAAAAGCATTCCCATGAATGTGTACACCAGGAGAAACAGAACAGTTCTGAGGAAGTCCTCCAACTTTAGACAAAGATCTATGTTCTGACCCTGGCTCCAAACTACCTTCAATGGCACATCTGATTAGTTACTTAAGATCCACACTGGTACTTCTTCATCTGTTAAGGACAGGTAGTTCCAAAGGGCTGAAGAATTCAGACCCTTGACTGGCACTTGCTAAATGCTGCATGACGGTTAGTTGATGGGATTTATTTTTACCTGGGTTGAGTTATATACTCCAACGTTACCCTGGAGAGTGTGTAGGATGAGGCTTCCTGACTCCGGCTTGTTCAATAGGACTGACCATTATTTATCCAACTCTACTAGAGAAGGAACCAGCAAGCCGTATCCCCCTGACTCCCAGACATTCTCCAGGCTGGAGGAACAGTCCTCAGTGACTACAGGCTTTCATCTGGTTTCTATGGACCCTCCTTGAAGCTTGCCTGCCTGTCTGCAGAGAGAACTAAGAACCAGAGACTCCTTCATGCCAATATTCAAGAATCTTTGCTGTACATGTTAGGAGAGATGTTGTCATATCAGAAACTGAGTTACATCTAGGCCAGCCCCCCAAAAAATGAACTTAAAATAATATTTATGTGACAACTGTCTTGGTTAGGGTTTCTATTGCTGTAGTATGATACAAACACCAAAACCAAGTTGGAGAGGAAAGGGGTTTATTCAGCTTATACTTACACATCACAGTTCATTACCAAAAGGAAGTCAGGACAGGAACTTAAACAGGACAGGAACCTGGAGGCAGGAGCTGATGCAGAGGCCATGGAAGGGTGCTGCTTACTGGCTTGTTCTCATGGCTTGCTCAACCTGCTTCCTTGTAGTACTTGGGACCACCGAGCCCAGGGATGGCCCCACCCACAGTGGGCTGGGCCCTCCCCCATCAATCAATCAATCCATAAAATCCAGCTGTAAAGTATTTTCTTTCTTTCTTTTTTTTTCTTTTAGGGGAGAGCGCAAATGCAGTCCCCCACTACCACAAATTATACAGTCGAGTTTCCCTGCATTTGGGGAAATCGCAGGAGTCAGCACATCTGGAGTGCAATGGATAAGCCTTGCCCTTCAGAAAACCCCCTTCGTGATCATGGTATCTCCCCTGCCAGGTAAGTATGTAAAGTGTTTTCTTAATTGAAGTTTTCTCCTTTCAGAAAACTCTAGCTTGTATCAAGTTGACATAAGACTAGCCAGCACAACTGACCCCTTGTCAACTTGACACACAAACACATCACTATTAAGCCACAACCCTTCCTTTCGTATGTGTCCCCAAGAGCTCACATTAAAATCATAAATAACTTTAAAATTCCCACAGTCTTTACAAATGCAAACACATTAAAATTTCAGTCCCTTCAAAATAGCCAATCTCTTAAAATCTAAAGTCTTAAAATTCAAAGTTTCTTGGCTGTGGGCTCCAGTAAAATAAAAAATAAAGTACTTATTTACTTCAAGCGGGAAGAACCAGGGCACAATCACAATCTGAACAAAGCAAAATCACACCCTCAACAGTGTAAATAACAGAATGCCCAATGTCTGGGATCCACTCACGATTTTCAGGGCTCCTCACCAAAGGGCTTGGGTGACTTCTCCAGCTCTGCCCTCCACAGCACACACAGCTTGTCTTCTAGGCCTCCAGCTGGCTCCACTCCCCACTGCTGCTGTTCTTGGTGGTCATGCCATGGTACTGGCATCTCCAAAAGGCTGGTATCCTCTGCTGCAACTGGGCTGCACTTTCACCAATAGCCTCTCATAGGCTCTCTTCATGGTGCCAAGCCTCAACTTCTCTGCATGACCCCTCCAGTCCTGGGCCCACAAGCGGGACTGCCATTGAGGCTGTACCTTCACCAATGGCCTCTCACAAGCCAAGCCTCAGCTGCTCTCCATGATCCCTTCATGCCTTCAAAACCAGTACCACCTGGGTGACTCGTAGGCTACCAACCTTGGCTGCTTCTGAAACACAACTTTTGTGTGCTCTCAGGAAACGCTTCCCAGAATATTTCACCTCAGTGATGCTGGCCTCTTCTTAATCACCCACTAATTTCTCAGCTCCAGCCAACCAGCATTGAGTATCCCAGCAAAGCAAAGGTTTCACTTTAGATGTTCTGGTATCTTATTAATCACAGCAGACTCTTCAGCCTCCGCTAACCAGAACCACAGATTCTTCACACAAAAAAGCCTGATAGAGTCTTTGCTTCCATCTGAAATCCCACAAGCCAGGCCTCCATCATCTGCACTGCTCTCGACACTCAGTGACTTTTCTTGTCCTGGGTTCCAAAGTTCTTTCACAATCCTCCCCAAAACAACCTGGCCAGGTCTGTCACAGCAATACATCATTATCCTGGTACCAACTTGCCTTAGTTAGGGTTTCCATTGCTGTGATGAAACACCATGACCAAAACGCAAGTTGGAGAGGAAAGGGTTTATTTGGTTTACTCTTCCACATTGTAGTCTATCACTGAAGTAAGTCAGGACAGGAACTCAAGCAGGGCAGGAACCTGGAGGCAGCTACTTACTGGCTTGCTCCTCATGGCTTGCTCTGTCTACTTTCTTACAGAACCCAAGACCAGAAGCCCGGGGGGTGGAGGTGGGGCGGGTGGCACCACCCACAAAGCTGGGCTCTCCTGCATCGATCACTAATTAAGGAAATGCTCTAAAGCTGGGTCTTATGGAGGCATGTTCTAAATTGAGGTTCCCTCCTTTCAGATGACTCTAGCCTGTGTCAAGTTAACATAAAACTAGCCAAGACAACAGCTCATGCCTGTAATCCTAGCATTGGCAGGCCAAAGCAGCACGGTTGTAAGTTTAAGACCAACTACATAGCAAGACTGTGTGTCAAGAAATATACATGTTATCTGTGAGCTCTACTATGTGCTGGCATTTCACATTTCTTATTCAAGGGGTCATCAGAATGAAGAGGTGGGTACTGATGATGGGAGAGGGTAGACGAGTGTCTCTAGGACGCAAAGGTGGTAAGGGGAGGGAGCAGAATTGGAATCTAGGCCTAGTTACCTGCATTCACCCTTATCCATCTCCAGGCCTGCACCCAAGCATCAGTTTTAGCAAGATATTTATTCAGGCCTCTCCAGTCAGCTTTTGTTTCTGTTTTCTTGTAAAGAACTTCTAATCACATAAATGCCTGCGTGCTCTTGTGTGGTGCTGCTGTTGAGCCAAGACAAGTGTGCAGGTCAGAGCCTTGGCAAGAGCTGGTGACCCAGGAGAATGTGGAGGGCCACCCTCATTAGGCGTGGGGTTTCACATCAGCTCCACCTGGGCTGTGCCAACCTTCATCCTCAGTGTACAGCAAGGTCATCTTGGCCACAGCCTCAAACAGCTGCGCTCGGGAAAGGCATCGCCCAATCCTCCACCCCCACCCCCCATCCTAATGAGAACGAAAGCAAAGCTCAGACTGTAATCCACCGGCTGCAGAAGCCAATCATTCCTCCTCGTTACTGAGCGAAGAAATGCCTCTCAGGGCGCCTTTGGCTCCTTACAAACAAAATAAAACAAATCCTTCCTATGGATTTCATTTGCCATTTAATGCAACCTAATGATTTCCAATTGAAACCATATTCATGTTTGTATTGACTTATTAATAGCACATCCATTTTCCACACAATAAAGCCTGAACATGAACTGGTGACTTTGACCAAAATGCATTAGGTAGCATTAAAGATTAAATAAACACTGTTTCTATGAGTAATGTTTAATGCCCTCTATTTGTCAGTCTATTGAAAATTGATCTCTGGGTATTTTGAGCAGGGGTTCCACAGAGTGCATTTTGAACATATTATGAGTCATGACTATGTATTAGGACGTGGAATGTTTTCCAGGCCATCGGTAGAGCTCATTACAACTTTAGAATATTCTGGTTAATTTGCACAAATTGTTCCAATGTTGATGGCAAAAGCCAAATAGTAAAAGGGCAGAACTGAAACACATGTGTAATTAAACAGCAACTTAGAAATGGTTCCGCCGGGCACGAGAAACCAAGTCCTATATTCTCCCTCTGGGCCAGGGGCGCTATCTGCCCACATTGGTTCCTGCTCATCTTTGCTGCTGCTGTTTGAGTGGACTGAGCTCAGAAGTGGGTTCCCTTGCCACTGGAGAAGGGGTGAGGACTGTAGAGACCTTGTCTGCTTCTTGCAGTTCTCACCCTGCATCTACTCTGCAAGGGTAAAGACCGTGTTTTCTTCGATTTTGTATTTCCGAGGCTGAGAACAGATGATCTAACACCCGAGAGAAGTATACAGAGCCAGGCCCTGGCAAAGGCCTATAATCCCAACTCCGGGAGAGACTGAGAGAAGAGTGTCAAACGTTCTAGGCAACCCTAGACTACTGAGTGAGCTTGAGTCAGCCCGACACCTCAGTGAGGCCTTGTCGTAAAATAAAAGCTAAAAAGAAGGCTGGAACCATAGCTTAGGGGTAAAGCATTTGCCTAGCATGCTCGAAGCCGTGGGTTCAATCCCTCAAGTCTGCAGTAAGGAAGGCAGAAACTAGAAGTGATGGTAAAATACATGGAATCCCAGAACTTGGGAGGTAGAGACGGGAGAATCAGGAGTTCAAGGTCAGCCTGGGCTACACAAGACTGTCTCCAAAAAAAAGGGGGCAGCGGGGGTGGGGGATGGGACAGAAGGAACAGAAGGAAGACTTCAATAGACTGATTGTGACAGTTACAATAATTGCTACTTATTGAATTCCTTCCTGGGACAGTCAAGATGCTAGGTATGTGATACCCATTACCTCTAATTATCTCCCTAACCCCCAAAACACATTCTTCCCTGTGTGTACACCAGATGACTTGTCATAGTTGACGCTATTACTGAGACCATTATCAGAGGTGTTATGGTTTGAATATGAACTGTCCTCCCATAGACAGTGTGTATTAAATACTCGGTCTTCAGCTGGTGATGATATTTTGGAAAGATGTTGGAAAGCTTAGAAGGTGGGAGGTTCTACTGAAGAAAACAGGTCCCTACCTAGTGTCTAGGAAGTTTATACCAATTCTTCTTCTCTCAGCTTCCTGTCTGAATCAGGATGAAGAATTCCTCTGCCATAGGCTCCCACCACCATGATTCTTTTTGGCCACAGATGCTGTCTTAGTCAGGGTTTCTATTGCTGTGATGCAAAACCATGACCAAAAAGCAAGTTGGGGAGGAAAGGGTTTATTTGGCTTACACTTGAGCACTGCTGTTCATCACTGAAGGAAGTCAGGACAAGAACTAAATTAGCAGGGCAGGATCCTGGAGTCAGGAGCTGATGCAGAGGCCATGGAGGGGTGCTACTAGCTTGCTTCCCATGGCTTGCTCAGCCCACTTTCTTATAGAACCCAGGACCATTAGCCTACGAATTGCACCTACCATGGACTGGGCCCTCCCCTATGATCGCTGACTGAGAAGATGCCTTACAGCTGGATCTCATGGAGGCATTTCCTCAGCTGAGGCTCCTTCCTCTGATGACGCCAGCCTGTGTCAAGCGGACACACAAAATGAGCCAGTACAGGCCCCCAAACTACAGAGCTGAAGGATGGCTCAAACTCTCTGAAACTGTGAGCCCAAACCCAAATCTCCTCCTTTAAGTTGGAAATCCTCTTGTGCATTTTGGCCACAGCAACAAGAAAGATGACTAATACAAAGAGACACCATGCTTTTTCAATTTTTTTTTCATCTCCCCCATGAAATGGCTAGGGTGGGACAGTTATCGCATGCATTTTGCAAATGTGAGACTAGAACCCAGACAGGTGAAATCATCAGTTGTTTTCTCCCTTCCCTGTTTGTCTTCCTGCCTTTCCTGACTCCTTGTATGGATTATGTTCTCGGGTGACAAAATACCCTGACAGAAAACAACGTAAGAGAGAAAGGGTTTATTTTAAAGGTACACAGTCAGGAGACTGGCTGGTCACATTGTCTCTTCACAGGAAGCAGAGCGTGAACAGGAAGTGGGTCCAAACCATGAAACCTCAAAAGCCAGAAAGTGGTGGTTCACACCTTTAATCCCAGCACTTGGGAGGCAGAAGCAGACAGATCTCTGAGTTTGAGGCTAGCACGGTCTACAGAGTGAGTTCTAGGATAGCCAAGGCTATACAGAGAAACCCTGTCTTGAAAACAAAACAAAACAAAA